TACCAAAATTTGGATGATTTTGAATATTCACTTGAAAAGTTATCAAAGAAAAACATTTTTCATTTTGTAACTTCGAGGGCCCGTTACTTGGTAACGAAGGATTTTAGGAAAAAAAGTTATATGAAGTACTGGTGATATTTTGACCCCATCTATACATTCCCGAGAGGAAAAGAGGAAGTCCAGGGACACCCTGTATACACCTGTCTCAAAGCATTTGTTTATTATTTTGGTGAGAGGTTCTACTAATCCCTTCTTCGTGTTTTTCAATATCTTGTTACTTAATTCATACACATTAGTGCAACCAAATACACAATTAGTGGATTTTGATAGGGTGGTGCATTCATCAACTCTGAACATTCAATTTCAGGGTAATTTTAATTTGATACGGCCGAACTAACTTTTTCTGAAGCTTCATACCTTTCTCTGGTGATCTTATGAATGCCTTTTTAATAAAGGTTTAAATTATATGTGTTTTAAATATATTATTTTGTTAAACAGCTGTGGTCTCCCTTGGAATCCCTTGAGCAGCGGAGTAATAAATCATTTTAAAGTGGCTGTTCAATAGACATACCTAATTGAGTCGTTCAGAACGTCAAAATTGTATTATTCACTCTGAACAATCAATGTTGGTTTGATACAACAAATTTCAAAACTTCTTATAATTGATAGATTATTTTTGAATGAAACACTCAAAATGTTATTTTCAAAACTTTCTATGAGAAGCACTTCTGAATATATCACCTGAGTTAGTGGTGTACTTTTTTCCCCATTATTGATAACTGTGGTGCCCTCTGAAACTCCACAAGACCTAATACATCTAGTTCTATCTAGTTCAATCTAGTTAGGGCTAAACGAACGCTTTATTACTTTAAACAACTGTGGCGAATTTCATCCAAATCGGTGTGGGGATATTCATGATATTTCATAAAAACAGTTTTTTTAAACTTCAATGCCCTGAATCTCAAAAACGAAGCAACTACGGCCATATGTTCGTGAGAACTTTTTTCTCAAAGCGACTTAACGAATCACCCTCTGAAATTTCGTTCTGTAGTTAGGAATCACCCTGTATATTCACCCTTGAAAACTCGACAGCTTGATGTAGTTCACTTAATTTAGCTCGAGCAATATCTAAGTTTTGAAAATATAACAATGAATTATCGGGTTGCAGGAGAAATCACCGTCAGCTTGAATTAATTTTGAGCTGTATTTATAGCGAAGCATTCAGGCGGTTCAGATGCTGGATTTTAAAATATTGTATTTTTCATCATCAACAAATAGGTTTAACGAAGTGTATCATAAATATGTCAAGAATGGTTTCACGTAAACATGCCGCAGATACTTTATAGATTTCAAGCTAGTATATAACAATAACAAAATCATATATTTCGATATTTCTGTATTCAGTATTTGAACTCGATGGAGATACTATAATAATGAAAATGATTTATAATCTGATTTGGCTCTGAGTTATATGACGTACCCACATTTTTCTGGAGAGAGAGGCTAGATGGACTGCGTATATACTTGTGCACATTGCCAATGGGCTTGTTTCATGATTTTTGGTTTATAGTTCACTTGATAGAAATTTTAAATTGAAAAAACAGTGTCCTTTGTTTCATCTCTCTAAGTACCGAAGTTTTCCCGTAATTAATTATTAAAAATTGAATGTGGTAGGGTGGTGACGTCAGGCCCCTATTCCCGGTTCTTGTTCGATTGACCAATAGGAACAATAGAAATAATCAACATTGCCAAATCGTAAAATCTACGAAGCCTATAATCATCAATTTAATTATGGAAGTGCATATGAACCCGTTAACGTTTCAATTAATGAAAAATTCTCCACATGGAATAAAATGTACACGAAAAATAAGTTCTATATCTAAAATCAGTACACAAAGTCGATAGATCACAAAAAAATTACCTAAACTATGATTTTATGTATTATTTAATAATTTACAGTTATGAGAATCAAAAAATATAGCAACCTGGATTGAAGAATTATTTCAAATATTCAATTTATTCTACAATCCTTAATCTGTACAACTGCAATTTATTATAAAAAAACGATTCCTACATACATACCTCTTTCTAATATATCTACTCAATTCAAACGTTATAGGCTCGCTTGGGTAATCTGTTGAATCTTCCAAAACTTGAGAGATAGGTTGAATGAGGTCAAGTGTATTTAGAATTGATTATACTCGAACTGATCCAACAAAAGCTTCTGAGGTAATAATACCATTAATCAAATGATAAAATTTAATTAATTTTGTTTCATACTTTCAGTAACAGGATTAACTCCAGATAATACTTTCTGTGGAGAATACTTGGAGTTGAAATAAAAAACTCCTGTCATCAAATTCAATATTTTCGTTCCTCTTTCATTTATAGTAACTTTTTGGATGATTTCTATAAAGTCTTGGAAGAGTAGAATTATTGTAGTTCTCTCTTTTCAATACTTTCACCCATTTTTTTTCTCATCATTTTATCCTTTGAGAACCTAAACTCATATGAAATAACTCACTTATAAACCAATGCGCTTTCTGTTTTCTTGTGCCTTTCCGTACAATCAAAATCAGCACAAGAATGCACCATATTAATATTCAAATATATTTCTAAAACACTTTTAAAACATACACAAACTAAACTGAATGAATGAATGAAAAAACGAATTGTTTTTACGCGAGCTGTCAGCTAAGAAAAAGTTGAAACTCAATGTTGCAAAAACAAGCAGAATGGATCCGATATGACATACATTTTCAATGCCGAATAAACCAATAAATTGTGACATGGGTACTTCATTTTCCTGAGAAAATGACTATCAATTAAAATTTTCTGTAATTATTCATTCATTTTTTTCAAGAATAAAGGCAGCAACCAAATAAATATACAATAAGATACAACAAGATCAAGACAATAAGATCACTCGAATCCACGAATTGAGCATAAAAATGGACAATAATATTTGCCTTGATAACTGATATAGTACAAGTTATATCTAAATATAATTCTAAATAGAATGAAACGAGCTATATTTTCAAATGGTTTTGGAATGCTCATGAACCCTAATAAAATAAATCAATTATGCATTTATGCCACACCCACCAAAAAATAAGAAATTCAACGTTACTGGTATATTAGCCATATTGTCATCCAATCAGCCAGCGCCCTCTGTAGTGTATGCGACAGTGTGATCTTTCTAATGTCAATGATTTCCACAAACATCCTATTTTTGTTAAAATAATTTCAAAATGAATGTTGAGCCTAGTTTTGTTAAAGCTGACTCCCAAAAACTTACCAAGAGCCGATTTTGAAATGATGGATGGATTTTACTTGAAAAATTTGCAATACTTTGGTACCGAAATGAAAAATGAAAAAATTGAAACGGTAGGTAGTATATTTAGTAGGTCCCTGTTATTTATGTGACATTCATTTCAGACTTTGTCTTTTATCGAAGGATGGACAGTTTTTATTTAATTTTTATTTTATCTCGGCCAAGGAGAAGTATGGCGACTGAAAAGAGAATCAAAGATATGTACAGTGAAATGTAGAATTACTCCAGTAACCTGAAAAAATATTTTCCGGAATGTAAACTGATGACAGGGAATATGCAGCAAAATAGGTACCCGCCGAGACTTACCTTTTCCAAAAAAACATTCTATAATTATATAATTGTAACAGTTGTATTCACACCGAGTTGACAACAATAACAACAAAAATGGCGTCTGTCGAATTGGATCATCAGATCTGTGATTGGATATTAAAAATCAATACACTTGGCAACTTTGGTCTAGACACGATTAATTTTATTGGTCAACAGACACGCGGCCAATTTAAATTCTTGCTTTTCGAATTATTCTTTTTTCTGCAAATATAAAGAGATTTTGGGACCGATTAGGCTTGATAAGTATGATATACCCCTAACTCGATCAGTCTGAAAGCAAACTATTATCATTTTCCATAGTATGAAACAAGCCCATTGTACAAATCAATTTAATGCAGAGTGCAACAGACTGTTGGTTGACACTGGAAGTCTCAGCATTCTGGAAATGACCTCTGACTTTATGCCTCCAACTGTCATCTACAAAATGCCTTATGATGTACTGTTCCCGAGTAGAGAGGACTGGATCCTCCGGGAGAAGTAAATATTGAGAGCAGAAAGTTGTTGGTTCACAGATGGATTAAAACACCTTTCGGTTCCGGTGCGGGTGTTTTCAGTACACGTACACAAGTCAATATAAATATTCTCGGACAGTCAAGCGGCGTTGGAAGCTCTTGGCTCCTACCGAGCAATGTCTAAATTGGTAGCAAATCGCCAAAAACGACTCTCCTCGATAGGAAGATGTAACAGATTGTCTCTGGTCTAGATTCTTGGACATACTTGCCTGGAAGGCAATATGGCTGCTGACTCCCTTGAAAAAGAGGGTGCTGCAAGCAGCTTCATCCAACCAGAACCTGTCATTGGCATCGCTTTAGGCTTTGCCAAAAGGACTGAACACCTATATGAGGAATTGCCACTGATGGAGCTAAGAAAAATATGTTTTCAACAATACGGGACTTCGCCTCACAACACTGCAATTGTCACCAGTTTTTTGGCTGCAAGTTTTGGTAATAATTGGATAAAAACCCAACCGTTGGTTGGCCAGGTCACCGGACCTAACGCCTATGGACTTCTACCTCTAAGGAAACTTGAAAGATCTTATTTTAAAATTTCCGAGCAATTCTAGATACGAATTGGAAGCGGCAGTGATGCAGAGTTTTGCTTATCTCACTCCTATTGAACTAATTAATTGGGCAAAAAACGTTCAGAAAAGGTGTCGAATGTGTGTTGGAGAAGCTGGTAGACATATCGAACACCTTCTCTGAACAAATATATTTTATTGTTTGTTCTTTATCATTATTAAAATTATCATTGTTGAAGTTTCATTTATTAATAGTAAATATAGTATACATTACCGGTTTTATTAAGACTATGCGTTTCAATTACTGCTGTGAGAAGCTTTCTCAACATTTGATAGCTACTCTGAACAATTTCTTTCTGTTTTATCGGCGCGACGTCCAAAGCCTACTTGATCAAAGTGTGGGATTGAAAGTCTACATGAAAAATCCTAAAAGCTCTGTATTTCTAAAATGACTAGCAAAAAATCAAGTGTGCTACAATTTTGGAAAACTCTATTGAATCATATAGGAATATACGGGGTGTCTATTTGAAAGAAAATAGTTCTACATCAGTTAATATTGATATCTCATTTAAAAAAAACTTCTACGTGAAAAGTGCTTTGAAAATATTTTCACAGAAAAGATACATTTTTGACAGGAAAAAAGTTACGGCAATTTTTCAAAAATTCACATTTTCGAAATACATGCTGCAACTGAGAAACAATGATAGATATCGATATGCGATATGTGTCCAATTTGGTCCACTCTGTAAAATTTTGAATTCGTTGTAATCTCATTCTATTGTAATGCAGTAATAAATTTTAGTACACTGAACAATATGGAAGAAAATCTGTCTGTCTGTTTAAAATCTGTATTTCCGTTAACCAGCTGTCGCACCCCTACGAACGACAACGACAACTCTCAGAAGTCGAAACTAGGGCTTGAACCACCGACCAACACGGCAGTCAATTCGAGTGAGTGAACAAAGCACCCACGTCGAAACCCCTGAAGAACCTATTAACTATTCTGAGTTACATTTGCTCAGACAGTTTACTTTTGAATTTTATTCACGTGTTTGTCGGATGATTATAGTTCTATTCTGTAGTTATTTTAATTGATTGAATAACAATTAGTAATTTGGAAAAATAACGAAAGTGACATATGTTTTTTAAAATTCATTTGAAATTTTTGTTTGTATTGTAACGGTTTTAATTTCTGAATTCAGAAGAATCAGTAGAGTTCGTTATTTTATCAGCATATTTCTGGGATGGTGGGTTGTCTAGTAAGCAGGAGTAAATAAAACCGAGGAGATTTTCACGATCAGGATTTAAAAACGATTCAGATCAGTATATATCGTAAAGCCAACACAAAAGTAAGGTTCTAGCAAGAAACTGTCCGAAACCTAAAAACATCTAAGGTTTTTTGGACAAGAATAATAAGATCACCTATGAAAGGTTCACGTCGAGCACTGTCAGACCTTTTATTCATTTTTTCGTGGTAAAAAAAGCCTTCAAGGCATAATTATCTGGTAATGGAAGAAATTCTTCGGAAAAGCTATAGTTGCATCATACACATCATTCTTCGAGATATGAGGAGACACTCTAGAAAGTACCAACGAAGAGCCGTGGCAAGTATATTAGAAAAAATATAAAAAATGATGATAACCCGTGAGTAGAAGCCCTGATATTGTTGATATATTTTGGAGCGGTCTGGGTACTGGAATCTACAGTTTATTCCTGAAATTACAGGATAGTTCTAAACATTTTCCTTTTCTCTGTGCAGATTCTGGATAAATTAAGATTCAGGCAGTTAATATTAACTGCTCATTCGTTTCCTCATTTTCAATTTACGTAAAGGTCTATCTCTGTCAGTTCAAGACTCGAATCTTTTGATTCGATATTGTTCCGAAGTAAGAGTTCTCCAGTAGTAATATCGTGATCAAAATGGCCTATAGCGGCGTATAATTATCTTTACTGTGAACGTTTTTTTGTATTAAGTATTGGTTCTTTAAACTTTATGTAGATATATCTGCCTGTTTTTTTTACATTAGTTCGTTGCAAATAACATATGAAAATCAATTTTTGAGTTATTACACAGTTGGTAGTGAAGTTTGTAAATATTTCTTTCTATATATCAATTTAATATAAATTTCAAGCTTGGAGCTTCGTTGTTGACTTTTTGGTTATTTCTCCAACCCCTTCCCTGTTGAATCCGTTCAACTGGTGCCCCAGGGCTTACTTTTTTCGTCTATTTCGACTGTAAAAAAAAAAAAAAAAAACATATTTTCCTTACCCACGTCCAGCCCCGACAATAATCGACTAGCCTCGGCCGAACTATCATTTGGTAATTCCATAAATACCAAGGTAGGTTATATCATTTTTGTCACTTTCATTTGGTAGTTCGTTATATGAATTCATTCCAGAATAATAAATGAATTGTTCACCTATATATGACAGGTTATATGACCTATATATGACAGGTTGAATATTATCACAAATTGTCTGCGTAGATGTGTAATTGAGAACTTGTAAGGTAGGACACCCAACCAAATATGAAAATCAAAAGCAACCAGAGTCTCGGGATGCTCTCTTGTGGTACGCCGCTGTTGTTTTTTTTGTAATAATTAATCCTGATTCCTCTAGCTTTCCTAATATTGTTGAGTATTTTCAGCATAAAAAAATCTTCAATTTTTTTGTGTAACTTTGACCATTCCGTTGGAAATACCATTCAAAACCGATTATTACAGTTTATTGTATGATTTTCACTATAAAGAGTTCAACAAAATCCGCGACACGTGTTTCGCTATAGAAAAGCTCCCTTAAGCGTACCTTAACACATGTTGCGGTTTTTGTAAAACCCTTCACCCCGCTATACAATAGCTTCCCCAAGCGTAAACTGTTTACGCTTGAGGAAGCTATAGTATAGCGAAACACATGTCGCGGTTTTTGTAAAACCCTTCATAGTGAAAATCATACAATGAATTGTATCAATTAGTTTCAATATAGATTTTCATAAAGTATCGGCCAGTTCTATTCAAATACCATTCAGATTTCAAATTACCTAAAGTACATGCAGGCCTACAACTATATGGAATTAAACTACTTGGGGAGACAGCTGCGGAGCATAGTAACCTAACGGTGTCCGGAGATATCGGCTCTCTTTCACTACCACTTCTGCGAAGCTTGGTGGGGTTTTTGCTGTGAACGCGCCAGAACCTGCAGACATCACGAAAAACATTCCACACCTGAAAAATAAGAATTATTATGAATCTATGTCTATGTCTGAATAAGATAGACTCACAAACTACTATAACATGTATGATTTATTCATGTTACAATTCAAATCAATACCTCAAGAGTCTCGTGAAATTAAAACTATCACGAGAAAAAATAAATTCTAGCGACCTGACAAACCGATAAGGTAGGCGGATGAAGAAAGGTCGCCATTGCATTGGTTTTGTTTCAGAATGGAAATTGATACATACTTGACACTTGCTTTTGTTTGATTGAATCATATGAAGGGTTATTATTACTGGTTATGGTACGCGGCTTCGGTCATAGAGAGATGATATGAAATTTTGTGATAGTTGAAAATTTGAATTAAAAGAGGTCCATGTACCTATACAAAACATGCCTCAGATGATCCACAATGTTCCAAGTCATCCTGGAGCATTCAAGACTGTTCTGAAACATTTCATTATGACCTGAGATGTTTCTAGGTATTTTAGAACGATCCAGACTATTTGCGAACATTCTGGACTGTTCCACAATTTTTTTTATGGAGGATAGATGACTCCCATGCTTTTCAACTTCCTAGATCGTTTCACAATAATCTGGGATGTTCCAGGATCTCCCCGAACATTCCAGACTATTTTCAAGCATTCCAGAATGTCCCGGTAATGTACTACCCCCTATATTTTCAAAACCACGCCCTTCAGGTGGATAACGTTTTCCATGGATGGAGTATAGATAGCTGCCAAAATTTTAAAAACATTTTTACAAATTTTTTTGTTTTTTTTTTCTCTACACAAAAAGTGACACATGGTTGTTTTTGTTTTCTTGATAGTATTCAAAAATATATCGTGAAAATTATTTGTTTGAAACTAATTGTTTATTAAATAAATAAAGAAAATATAAATTAGAAAAAAAAGTTTTTTCCAGAATAAAAAGCAAATAGCTATAGCAAAAAAAATTGTTAATCAACAAATGCATTTTTGAGCAATGAAAATTTTTTTAAGAAACGAATTTGTTTTTAAAAATCATAATAATCATCACTTATGAAAATATTCCAAAAATAATTTCAAATATCTTATACATACATATCAATACATTTGTTTATATGAGTTCAATCTTGCTCTTAAAGTAATATTCATTACTACATCAAAGGTTCCAAACAGTGCATTACAAGGAAGCTATTGTTTAACGAAACACGTGTAGTGGTTCTGTTAACCTTTTATAGGAAAAATCCCACAGTATTTAAAGTAAATGGAACTTCAAACGTTCCAGCCAGTCTCTATCTACCTACACAGTAGGTTTAATGGACTGACACCTATCAGAAAACAACTACTCCCCATATAATCCAACGCCCTTCGTGGTATTAGCCAGGGGAGTAGTTGTTTTCTGATAGGTGTCAGTCCATTAAACCTACTGTGTAGGTAGATAGAGACTGGCTGGAACGTTTGAAGTTCCATTTACTTTAGATTTGTTTACGGCCAGTCTTCAAGCATAGCCCACTGACTAATAAGAAAGTCCCACAGTATTATTGAATTTTGATATGAATTTTCATCAAGTATTGGTCTGTTCTATTTAGTTTTTGAATCACCAATGGTGAGTGAATGGCAATTAGCTGAAGAAATGGTTTATTAACTTTATTGGGGATTATTGAAGTGATAACTGGAAAACTCATTTTTTTTCAACAAAGCAGCTACCGAAAATAATATATTCTATAGCAATTTCCTCGTTTCCAGAATTTCAATCTTTTTCAATTGATGAAAATAAAAACCTTTCGTCAAATCTCTTCAGAGGGCTGTGAACCACTAAACTTCAAAAGGAAAAATTCATTGAAACACCTTTCCTTTCAATCCTTCCAATCACTGAAGCAATTCCGTCGGGTGGAAATTTTACGCATTTTATTTCTGGATGTTTGGTTAAAAAGGAACTGGGGAATCGCGGGAAAGAATTTATATATGAAATCGCTTTGGAATTTTTCTCCAAATTGTTGTTTTATTAAATGCCAGGCTGAAATCTTTTCTGCAACGAAACGCAACAGGAAATGAGATACTTCAGATCCAGAGGATGTTATGGAGCATCTGAACTTTCAACAGGAAATGCAAAAAAGTTAATTTCAGGCAAAACTGGAGTTGACATGATACGGTAGGAATAATCTTACATATTTGATAGGTTTCTATGAAACTATCGAATGGAAATCCAAGATTGAAATTGTTTCTTCATTATCAAAGAGATTCTGGAGTTGAGTCGTAGAACCATGTCAAATTATTTCAGACTTTTCATTACTAATTACTCTATACAAATTCAAAATAAAATCTGTATAACTTTCTCAGTCAGTGTTGAAGTAGGGCTCTTTTGCTGAAATGAAAAAAAACATCTTTTTCATCCCCATAAGATTTCGAAAATGTTTTTGAATTATTTTGAAAAATTGTCTTGAAGGGTATTTCAGCATGTATATACAATATTAAGGACATGAAAGAACAGTGATGAAGAGGTAGCCTTCATTTTATGAATACAACTTTTTCCCCCGAATCTGTCGCCCTAGTTGGAATATTCAAAAATCCTTTCTTATTGTACATCTACAATATAAAACGAATCTACATACAAAATTTCAGCCCCCGAAAATACAGCGGTATGGAAGACCAGTGATGAAAGAGTAATTTTCATATGTAAATGCGCCCCTTCCATCACCAGGGAAGGCTTTCCAGTTGGAATATTTGAAAATACTGTCTTATTGAACATCAAAAACGAAAAACGAAACTACATACAGAGTTTCAGCCCCCGAAAATATAGAAATATAACAGTATGGAGAAACAGTAACAGTGATGAAGAGGTAAATTTATTTTATGAAGGCTCCTTTTCCCCCGCGGTTGGCGCCCCAGTTGTAATTTCCAAAAATCCTTTCTCATTGTACATCTACAAAATGAAACGAATCTACATACAAAATTTCATCTTCCGAAAATATAGCAGTACGGAGAAAAAATTGATGAAAAGGCCATTTTCATATGTAAATGCATCTCTTTCATCACCAGGGAGGACTCCCCAGTTGGATTATTTGGAAATACTGTCTTATTGAACATTAACAACATAAAACGAAACTACATACAAAATTTCAGCCCCCGAAAATATAGCAGTATGGAGAAACAGTAACAGTGATGAAGAGGTAACTTTATTTTATGAAGGATCCTTTTCCGCCGCGGTTGGCGCCCCAGTGGGAATTTCCAAAAATCCAAAAATCCTTTCTCATTGTACATCTACAAAATGAAACGAATCTACATACTGAATTTCAGCCTCCGAAAATATAGCGGTACGGAGAAAAAGTGATGAAAATGTAATTTTCATATGTAAATGCGCCCCTTTCATCACCAGGGAGGGGTCCCCAGTTAGATTATGTGAAAATCCTTTCTCATTGCACATCTACAATATACAACGAACCTTCATACAAAATTTTAGCCTTCGAAAATATAGTGGTACGGAGAAACATTAACAGGGATGAAAAGGTAACTTTATTATGAAAAGTTAAATGAAAATTTCTATGTTTTTCACCACTTTTAATTGTAACTAACGTTACTGCAGTTTCGTCCTATATGGACATTCTCAAACTAATACAATAAACGTTAGTTACAATTAAAAGTGGTAAAGAACATATAAATTTTCATTTTTCTTTTGATTATGATCTCTTACCACGTAGTAACGGCTACATCCATCAATTTATGGAAACTTTATTTTATGAACTCGCCTTTTTTCCCCGCCGCTGACTCTCTAGTTGGAATATTTAAAAATGGGTTCATTTACGACATCACAATAGGACGTAGGTAATATGCTACAGGTAATCATTATTGAAGAGTTACCTCAGGTTTAGGTAATTTGATGGAGGTAGTCTCAATTGTAGTTATAAAGAAAGGAACTTTAAATGTTCAAGCCCGTCTCGGATATACCTACAGTAGGTTGAATGGACTGATGCCTATCAGAAAACGTCAGTGCAGGAATCTCCACAGGAAATTTCCTGCATATGCAATTGGCAATACAACTGAAAGAGTCGACCTTAAATTTTGGAACGAGCACACTTGCAGAACGGTTTCGGGCTCCTTAGCCACTCGTCAGTGCAAGATAGTGACCATCATCGACCTAAAGTCAATGCTATTCCATAATTGAAAATTAACATTCTTTCAGAGTATTTCATTCCTCGTCTTAAGTTGGAGCGAACATCAAAAATGTCACACCATCTACTGGACGAGGTAATAACCAACTGCGTATCCGAAATTTGCCCGATTTCTCTGAATAGGGAAGAAAAATTTTCTAATTAGTCAGTGGCTATGCTTGAGGACAGGCAGTAAAAAAATCTAATATACCTACCTACACAGTAGGTTGAATGGACTGACGCCTATCAGAAAACCACTACTCCACTGGCTAATACCACGAACGGCGTTGGATTATATCCGACAGGCACTGATGTCCGTGAAGATTCCTGCACTGACGCCTGTCGGATATAATTCAATGCCGTTCGTGGTATTAGCCAGTGGAGTAGATGTTTTCTAATAGGCGTCAGTCCATTCAACCTACTGTGTAGGTATATCCGTGACGGTCTTGAACATTCAAAGTTAATTTCTTTAGATTTGTTCACTGCCTGTTTTCAAGCATAGCCCGTTGACTAATAAGAAAGTCAATTGTAGTTACCTGTGCTATATAAATATTAGCGTAAGAACCTACATGTAGTATTCAAATCACTGTTGAAGAAGCTACTGTGTTAGCAAAATATGTCGTTATTTATTTCTCAAATAAAGTTTGTGGAGATCAAATCGTAAAGGTGTAGTTTATGAAACAACTCGTAATAAACATTTTAGTCCGCCGTTCTTGCTGTAACTTTCAATACTCGTAGCCTAACAATTTTTATTTAGTAATCAAGCATTCTTCATGAACATTCCGCCTCTGTTTATTAATTTATTCACAGAGTTTTCGTTGCAATGTTTTGCAGTATCATTTCATCGACGGATAAATGCTGTGCTTGTTCGTGTAA